TCGGATCTGATGTATTTCATCATTGCAATAGCTGAGCAAAATTATCTGTAAGTGGTCAGCCTTTATTACTATTGATACTTAAAAAGTTGACCAAAATTGCCAGTGCCTCCTCTATTGTGTCTTTGGATGCTGTTACACCTGAGAGAAAGTCAGGGAGGTCCCTTACTCAGGGTCTTCAGTTGAGTCTCTCCAGGGAGGACAGTTGAGGAACTAGGGCTTGATTAAAACCTAGTATCCCGAAGTCATGCAGCACGAGAATGTATCAGCCACGGAGGGTGAGCAGACTCAGGGTGAGAGGCTGGAAACGCGATGAACCATCTTTGCTTCCCAATCCTTCCCTTTCTCTCCCAAGGTCTACTTCTGCTATTTTCTTAATGTTTCCCCATTCACACCACAGTCCTTTAAAAATTCTCTCTCATAGACTTCTGGAATATATTGGGTTAGTATTAGGGCTGTGCAAAGTATAATAAATAGTAGAAGAAATTCTCCATCTCAGTAGTCTGAAGCAATGGGATTGAAAAATAAAGGTGCAAAACAAAATTTAAAATAGGGAAGTAAAATAGATTTTAAAATCTTGGAAAGGTTTAAAGTAAGGACATATTCAAATGTATTCAAAAGGTGATTAACTTTGTTTGAATTTTGATTCAGTAAATAACTTTCTAGGCACATTTCAAAATGTAAATAGAAGGGCCTGCGCTGTGGCATAGCTGGAAAAGCCCCAGCCTGCTGTGCCGGCATCCCATATGGGTGCTGGTTTGAGTCCCAGCTGTTCCACTTCCCATCCAGCTCTCTGCTATGGCCTGGGAAAGCAGTGTAAGATGGCCCGAATCCTTGGGCCCCCGCACCCATGTGGGAGATCCAGAGGAGGATCCTGGCTCCTGGCTTTGAATCGGTGCAGCTCTGGCTATTGTAGCCATTTGGGGAGTGAACCAGCAGACAGAAGACCTCTCTCTCTCTCTCTCTTCCTCCCTTTGCCTCTCTGTAACTCTGCATTTCAAATAAATAAATAAATCTTTAAAAAAATAGCACAATATATTAACACAACAAAGGTTGATATTATAGTTGACACTAGATATTCTCAAAGGAATAAGTGCCTCCACTTAGGCCAGGCACTCTGACGTGGGATCCAGGTGAGAGATTCAGTTTTTCTATTTAAGGCTTTTTGAAAGTATTTCTCAATTCTGTGATAATTTAAGGAAAAAAAAGTACATATTGTGGAAAATCTGAACGAGGATATACTCTCATGCTATCTTATATCAGAGTTTTGCGTTTTGTTTATAATCATGTTGGTGTTAATTTATCACCTGAAGTGTTTTTTCATGTATTTCTTGCATAGGGTTATATCAAATGGCAGTAGCTTGTGTTTGTTCTTGTGTTCCTGTTTTCTTTTCTAATATTTGTTTATCTGAAAGGCAGAATGACAGAGGAAGAGAGAGAGAGACAGAGAGAAAACATCTTCCATCCATGGTTCACTTCCCAAATGGCTGCAGTGGCCAGGGCTGGGACAGACTGAGCCTGGAGCCAAGAACTCCATCCGGGTCTCCCACATGGGTGGCAAGGACTCCTGCACTTGGGCCTTCTCCTGTTGCCTTCCCAGGCACATTAGCAGGGAGCTGGATAGGAAGTGGAGCAACTGGAGCTGGAGCCCATACAGGATGTTAGTGTTGCAGGCAACAGCTTCACCCACTGTGCCACAACACTGCACACTCCCCATTTAATTTTTTTGATGTTAGTAAAACAACTTTTTTTATAACTTTGCTAAAAGAATTGAACTTATAAGTGTTCAGTTCTCTAGCTATAACTGCCAATTTATGAAAAACAAATGAGTGATACATATTAAAGGATACCATGAGTTTGTGATTAGCAAAGTCCAGGCTGTAGAAAACCCTATGTAACAAATACATGGTTTCTTCAGCAGAGAGTTGCAAAGGAAAAGGAAACAGGGAGGAAGGGCAGGTGTGGGGGACATAAAATAAAAGGGACTTAGATAGAAAACAAGATGTTTAATTGTGTCTATGCAACAAAATAAGGTCACTGTGCTACCCAAAAAACACCAAAAGAACTTGTCTTTTGGCCACAATGAGGAGCTTCTGTATCAATTGCCTATGTCTGTATCTAGTCTCCTTGCTCTGAAGTCAAGGGTTATTGAGTGACCTAGTCATAGAATTGCTAGGCAATCCAACACCCTTCCTGAAGTCATCAAATCACTCAAAGAGTCCATCCTTCTAACACCCCTTACTGGGGCTCCCTGGGTTCTTCATGCACCAGCTAAGAAATGAAATTGTTCAGCAGCTGTTGTGTTCTTGGTCATAAAGCTTTTGACAGGAGCTAAAGAGATACCAACCAATGACAATATATAATTTTTTAAAAATCCCGATTTAAACAAATAGTAAATAGTGAAGACAAGACAAATTTGAAACTAGATATTTGATACTAAGCAATTACTGTTTTTGGCCTTTTTATTTATTTATTTATTTGAAAGAGTTACACAGAGAGAGAAGGAGAGGCAGAGAGAGAGAGAGGTCTTCCATCTGCTGGTTCACTCCCCAACTGGCTGCATTGGCCAGAGCTGTGCTGATCCGAAGCCAGGAGCCAGGAGCTTCTTCCGCGTCTCCCATATGGATATAGAGGCCCAAGCAAGGACTTGGGCCATCTTCCACTGCTTTCCCAGGCCATAGCAGAGAGCTGGATCAGAAGAGGAGCAGCCAGGACTAGAACCTGCACCCATATGGGATGCTGGCACCAGCACTGCAGCGCCGGCCCCTTTGGTCTTTTTTTTAATAATGCTTTTTTAGAGATACATGTTTTATGCTATGATGTCTGAGTCTCACTCCCAAATGTCCTTCTGATATTGGAATTTGACCCCCTAATATATAATACTGGAATGTGGCCCCTTAAAGTTCCCCAGAAGTCCCATCTGGGGTGCCACACGATATCATCATATGTTTATTAATAAGTTCCCAGTATTAATAAGCCCATGTGGGTTCTTGCCCAATATTCAAAGAATTCTGAATACCAGCATAAATGAACGAGGCAGCATGATACATTTTAAGCTTTAAGTGTGAAAGATGCACAGGAGAATGAGAGCTTTATCTGAGAGAGGTAAATCTGGGTTCATACCAAGTACCAGGAACCATCCATATAGAAGAGCATGTAGGCAAGGAAGCATGGGGTGGGTGGACTGAAGGCCACACGCCCTGGAGGCGCAGGGCTGCAGCCAGCCCCCTACTGGCAAGAGGCCAGAGAAAGGAAAGAAAAGAGAAAGGGCCAGACACACCCTGGTCCAGGCTTTTAGCCCCTTTTCTTTCTTTCTTTTTTTTAAGATTTATTTATTATTTACTTGAAAGTCAAAGTTACACAGAGAGAGGAGAGGCAGAGAGAGAGAGAGGCCTTCCATCTGCTGGTTCACTCCCCAGATAGCCGCAACGGCTGGAGTTGTGCTGATCTGAAGCCAGGAGCCAGAAGCTTCTTCCGGGTCTCCCAGGCGGGTGCAGCGGCCCAAGTACTTGGGCCATCTTCTGCTTTCCCAGGCCATAGCAGAGAGCTGGATCTGAAGAGCAGCAGCCAGGACTGGAACCACCACCCATATGGGGTGCCAGCACTGCAGGCAGCATCTTTACCTGCTATGCCACAGCACCGGCCCCTTAGCCCACTTTCAAAGGGGAGTGGTTAATTAACCTGATTGGCCAGTGGGTGTTCAGGTGTGGCCAGGTAGGGGCATGAGGTCATCACACAGGGGCGTGGTGGAGGCGTGGTCTTCCAGACCACAAACCTAATGGATTTAACCTGTATGCCTGCCTAGCTCACCTGGAGAGGGAAGTGGTTAAGAGGTGTTGATGAATCAAGATGGTCAAAATGCTAACTGCCAAAGGGAATCCTATTCTTGTCGATGTTTGAAACTTTTCAGACTCTCCTAAAAGTTATTTAAATTTTACTTATTTGAAAAGTGGAGACATTGTCCCATCAGCTAGTTTACTTCCCAAATGCCTGCAGCAGCCCAGGATCAACCAGGGTCTCCCACATGGGTGGCAGGAACCCAAGCACTGAGCCTTCATCAGCAGTCTCCATATCAGCAGGGAGCTGGACCAGAAGTGGACCAGGCACTCTGACGTGGGATCCGGATGTCCAAAGCGGTTACGACCACTCTGCCAAACGAGAAACCCAATTTTTTTTTTTTTTGACAGGCAGAGTGGATAGTGAGAGAGAGAGAGACAGAGAGAAAGGTCTTCCTTTTTGCCGTTGGTTCACCCTCCAATGGCCGCCGCGGCCGGCGCGCTGCAGCCGGCGCACCGCGCTGATCCGAAGCCAGGAGCCAGGTACTTATCCTGGTCTCCCATGGAGTGCAGGGCCCAAGTACTTGGGCCATCCTCCACTGCACTCCCGGGCCACAGCAGAGAGCTGGCCTGGAAGAGGGGCAACCGGGACAGAATCCGGTGCCCCGACCGGGACTAGAACCCGGTGTGCCGGCGCCGCTAGGCGGAGGATTAGCCTAGTGAGCCACGGCGCCACCCCAATAATTTATTTTTAACGTTTTTTAAAGCAGGGAGGAATCTTGTAGGATTAAAGAAAGGGCACTCCCTAAAAAGTCGACCACTTCGTTCAAAGGGCCAGAGATTGCTGTTTCTACCTCCGCCACATGGATCCGGACAGTCAAGGAGGTGTTCCTAAGTATATCAGGCAGATAAATGTCTGAATTAATAAAATTGGATCTAAAACCCAAATATTCCGGGGCAGTAAGTTAAGGGTCCTTCTGACATCCCACTAAGCTCGTTTGCCTCCTCCCCACCACCCTCTCCTCTTCCCTTCCAGAGTCTCTGCATACACCCAAGATGGTGGCGGCTTCGGACAGCGAACTAGGTCAGCTCCGCTTTCCCGAGTGTGCGCAGGCGGCAGGCCGCGCAGGCGCGTGTGCGCTTCCCTGGCCGACCTTGGCGGATCGCGCCTGCGCAGTGAGGAGCGGCGCGCGGCTGGGCTTTGAGCTGGCTGCAGTCTGTCTGAGGGCGGCCGGAGCGGCTGGCTCAATTAAGATGAGGCTTCTGCTGCTTCTCCTGGTGGCGGCGTCGGCGGTGGCCCGGAGCGAGGCCTCGGCCAACCTGGGCGGCGTGCCCAGCAAGAGATTAAAGATGCAGTACGCTACGGGGCCGCTGCTGAAGTTCCAGATTTGGTGAGTATACGCGCCGAGCCCCGGCCTCCCCGCCCCGCCTGTCTTCCGCGCAGCTCCGTACGCGAGGCCCCGGCTTCGCGGCCTAGGTGGCTGCACCTTCCTTAGCTCGGAAGAACGGCGCCAGGGCCCTTCCTTAGCCTGCCGTCTCCCCCGCGGGTCGATCAGACGCCCCTCTTTTCCTCCAGGTACAGCTGCCGACTCGTTGTCTGCCTCCTAGGATTGGGGGAGTGGGGCAGGAGGGCAGGAGAAGGTTAAACGCTGAAAGGCGAGGCCGGGGGGACGCTTGTCAGTCCGGAGGAGCTGTCGGCGCATCGCGCCATGCTGCCCCGGCTGCCTGCGGCTGGGGCGTGAGCGGGCGCTGCGTTGGCGGAGCAGCTGCAGGCGGTTGTCACTCAGGTCGCGTCTCCTGCCGCTGTCGCAGCCCGGCCGCCCGGCAGGTGAGGGGCACGGGAGCCCATGGAGTGGCCGGCGCCCGGGCTCCTGGAGCTGCGCGGCTGACTGCTGAGTGGGGGCGTGGAGAGGCAGTGTGGGGAGGCTGGCTCCCAGTTCAGCGTGAGAAAAGCAGCGCCTGGCTCCTCTCGGCTTGGACGGTTCGCTCACGGAACAGCCGGGGTTCTCTCCGGGGCTCCCTACTCCCGCTCCGCAGGAGATGCCTTGCGCTGGCACCTCTTCCTGCCTTTCCGATGTCATGGGCACTCACATAGGGAAAGAACCCGGCAGTTTTCAACGCTGTGATTTTTGTGCTCGGCTAGTAGTTAAGTGTTAGAAGCAAGGCAGGAGTGCTTTTTAAAAGGTAAGTGGGCCCGAGGAAGGTTTGAACAGCTAAGGTTAGAAAAACAACAGAAAACGAAAATTGTAAAATCGCAGACGGGAGAATCTTACACCCTAAAAGATGACATTTTCTCAGGATGGATGGTCAGATTAGTAAACCTTGAGAATCCTGGTACTTATACTCCAGTGTTGCTGTTAGCTGTAATTTATTTAAAATCAGCTTTTTTTTGTATGTTATAGTTGTAGTTTTCTTTTTTTTTAATGAATATAAATTTCCAAAGTACAGCTTATGGATTACAATGGCTTCCCCCCAATAACGTCCCTCCCACCCGCAACCCTCCCCTCTCCCACTCCCTCTCCCCTTCCATTCACATCAAGATTCATTTTCGATTCTCTTTATATACAGAAGATCAGCTTAGCATACATTAAGTAAAGATTTCAACAGTTTGCTCCCACACAGAAACATCAAGTGAAAAATACTGTTTGAGTACTAGTTATAGCATTAAATCTCAATGTACAGCACACTAAGGACAAAGATCCTACATGAGGAGTAAGTGCACAGTGACTCCTGTTGTTGACTTAACAAATTGACACTCTTGTTTATGGCATCAGTAATCACCCTAGGCTCTTGTCATGAGCTGCCAAGGCTATGGAAGCCCCCTGAGTTCACCGACTCTGATCATATTTAGACAAGGCCATGGTCAAAGTGGAAGTTCTCTCCTCGCTTCAGAGAAAGGTACCTCCTTCTTTGATGACCCGTTCTTTCCACTGGGATCTCATTCATGGAGATTTTTCATTTAGGTTTTTTTTTTTTTTTTTTTCCCCAGAGTGTCTTGGCTTTCCATGCCTAAAGTACTCTCATGGGCTTTTCAGCTGGATCCGCATGCTTTTAGGGCTGATTCTGAGGCCAGAGTGCTGTTTAGGACATCTGCCATTCTATGGGTCTGCTGTGTATCTCACTGATGACGTTTAGGTTTTATACTTCAGCAACTAGCTTTAACATTGGAAACTAATCAAGTATTTAAAAATTTAAAAACTGAGTTTAAGCTAGAGAGTCAGAAAATAAGATGATGGTAAGACTTTATTTTTGGAGTGAAAACCAAAAGCCTTGTAATCTCTTCCTGATTAAAACAACAGCAATAATTCCCTGTTCAGTGGACTGTGTACTTGGACTATATAATCGTTTTTAGAGTACTGTTTTTTCTAATTTTTTTCCTTAATTTTTAAAATTAGAAAGTGGTAATTATTTTGCCAACCTACAGAAATTGTGAAAGATTAAGTGTGATGCTCTGGGAATTAAATAGATGAAATAAGACTGCAGTTTTCAAGTTGTGTAGTTAGTCTTTATCCTCCTTTTCTAGCTCTTCATTGCACTGCAGGTTTTCCTGAAATACTTTTTGTTGTATTTGCTTCAGTTGGTGTACTTGTCACAGTGGTTTACCAGAAGGGACTTCTACTGAGGAGGTTCCTAACAAGGTTTTCACAGTGTGTAAACAAATGTAGGAAAGAGCAGTGATTCAGTCCTTCAGATTAAACTTTCTTAATTTAAAAGTTCTTCAGTTGACTTTTGTAGTCATCCTGACATGTAGATCACAAAAATGCTTCAATTTTTTATATTTATGTAGGAAATACCTTTATTAATATGCCTGCCAAGTATAAAAAATTTAGTTCCTCATCTGTTACTTTTTTTTCCGAAAGATAATCTGTTTACAGTAGTCAAAATTATTGTTTTGCTAAAATCTCTTGAATATTTATTTGCAAGTTTGGGAAAGGAGAGGAAGCGAATCTAACTAAGGATAAATGTGAAAAAATTATAATTTTTAAAAATTTCTTTTTTATTTTGACACGTAGAGTTATAGACAGTGAGAGGGAGACATAGAGAAAGGTCTTCCTTCCGTTGGTTCACTCCCCAAATGGCCGCTATGGCTGGTGCTACATCGGCCTGAAGCCAGGAGCCAGGTGCTTCTTCCTGGTCTCCCATTTGGGTGCAGGAGCCCAAGCACTTGGGCCATCCTCCACTGCACTCCGGAGCCACAGCAGAGAACTGGAGTGGAAGAGGAACAACCAGGTCTAGAACCCAGTGCCCATATGGGATGCCGGCGCCGCAGGCGGAGGATTAACCAAGTGAGCCAAGGCGCTGGCCTCAAAAAAATTCTTTTAATTTTTACTTTCATTAATATGAGAATAGCTTCCATATATCTCATAGACACAACTCTGATAACTGTACTTCCCTTCCTCCCTCCATCTCTCCCCCTTTTCTTTTTTTCCTTTAATTTTTATAATAACATACTTTTTTTGAGAATATTTATTTGAAAGAATTGTAGAGAGATAGAGGCAGAGAGAGAGAATCTTCTACCCGCTAGTTCGCTCCCCAAGCCAGAAGCCAGTTGCTTCTTCCAGGTCTTCCATGTGGATGCAGGGACCAAAGGACTTGGACCATCTTCCATTGCTTTCCCAGGTGCATTAGCAGGAAGCTGGATCGGAAGTGAAGCAGCCAGGATATGATCCCATATGGGATGTTGGCACTGCAGGGTGCGGCTTTACCTGTTGTGCTACAGCGCCAGCCCCCATACTTTCTTTTCTTTCCCCAGATGGCAGCAATGGCTAGAACTGTGCCGATCTGGAGCCAGGAGCTTTTTCTGGGTCTCCCATGCGAGTGCAAGGGCCCAACGACATGGCCTTCTACTGCTTCCCCAGGCCATAGCAGAGAGCTGGATAGGAAGTGGAGCAACTGGGACTGGAACCAGCACCCATTTGGGATGCCGGCACTGCAGGCGGCAGCTTTACCTGCTATGCCACAGCACCAGCCCCCATACTTTCAATTTACTTTATAATGCCAGGTTTAATGCACCACTAACAATAATGTTCAACAAAAGTAAAAAGTAGACCACTGTTCCACAAAAATATAGAAAAGGGCTATAAAGAAAAATCATAAGATGTCAGTTTTTTTCCTTGTGTTCTATATTAACTACCACATGTCAGAGAAACACATAGTATTTGTCTTTTTGGAAATGACTTATTTCACTAAGCATAATGGTCTCCAGTTACATCCATTTTGTTGCAAAAGACAGGGTTTCATTCTTTTTTATGGCACACATATATACCACACACACATATATACCACATTTTCTTTATCCAGTCATCAGTTGATGGACATCTGGGTTGTTTCCATATCTTAACTATTATGAATTGAGCTGCTGTAAAGATGGGAATACACCTAACTCTCTCATCTGCTGATTTTATTTCATTTCAGTAAATTCCCAGGATTGAGATGGCTGGATCATTGGCAGATGTATTTTCAGATTTCTGAGGATTCTTTGTTTAGCATTTTGGGTCTCTTGTGTTTCCATATGATTTTAGGATCACTTTTTCTAAATCTGAGAAGAATTTTATTGGTATTTTGATTGGGATCGCATTGTATCTATAAATTGCCTTGTATAGTATGGATATTTGATTATACTGATTTTTCTAATCCACGAACCTGAAGATTTTTCCATTTTTTTTCTGTCCTCTTCTGTTTCTTTTTAATGTTTTGATTTCAATTGTAGAAATCATTCACCTCCTTGGTTAAATTTATCCCAAGGTATTTAAATTTTTTTTGTAGCTATTGTGAATGAGAGTGATCCTATAAGTTCTTTCTCAGCCATGGCATTGTTTGTGTATACAAATGCTGTTGATTTTTGTATGTTGATTTTATACCCTGCAACTTTGCCAGACTCTTAGGAATTCCCATAGTTCCTTAGTGAAGTCTTTCAGTTCCCCTATGTATAGAAGAAAAGAAAATCTTATTTTTTTGTTGCAAATTTCAGTACTATAAAAGTTTTTCTTTCATTAATTACCAGTGTTAACAATCAAGAGAAAATTGTGATTTTTTTTTTTTTTTTAGATTTATTTATTTGAAAGTCAGAGTAACATAGAGAGACAGAGAAAGAGAGAGGTCTTCCATCTGCTGGTTCACTCCCCAGATGGCTGCAACGGCCAGAGCTGTGCTGATCCAAAGCCAGGAGCCAGGAGCTTCTTCTGGGTCTCCCACGTGGGTGCAGGGGCCCAAGAACTTGGGCCATCTTCTACTGCTTTCCCAGGCCGTAGCAAAGAGCTGGATCACAAGTGGAGCAGCTGGGACTCAACTGGCACCCATATGGGATGCTGGCACTGCAGGCGGTGGCTGTACCGGCTACACCACAGCGCCGGCCCCAAGAATTGTGCTTTCAATTGTTTTTTTTTTTTTT